ACTGCTCCTCACAGGCTTGCCTGTGTATTGCTGCCTACTGTATGGCTTGCACCGCAGAAATTATGTGATAACGCAAAAACCAATTTGGCACTTCCCACATGAGAGGATGAATGTGATTCCCCACCCTGCAAACGCAGCCTCCAGCCGTCTTGCCCTATGCCAGGGGTTTCTTAATACCCTGGCATTAGCTGACTAAGAGATGAAGCAAACTAAAGATGCATTTGCTATCTGTTCAGGCTGCCCAAACTTTCCATCAAATAAACGCTGGTCTGATTTTCAGCCCTCTGGGAACGGTTGCCCACAGCTAACATTTGCTACCCCGAATAACCCTGAGGTGACCTTTTCCCTGCAAAGCTGCAGCCAAGAAAAACCCTATTTAACATAACAGTGCACAGTTTAGAACATCAACTTGAACCATCCTGACCTCTGAGCTGCTGGGGTCTGTGCAAATTAATTTAACAATAGACAGTGCTGAAAGGAAGGAATGTTTCAAAGGAATAAAAAAAATCTCCCTCATCCATCTCTTCTCGTTTAAGAAATAGTCAGGAGGCCTTCTTTAGAAAAATTAAAAGTGCTTCTTGTTTCAAAACAATGGACTGTAGAAGAGGAGGGGGAACACATTGGTTTCTTGCATTTCCCATAAATGGGTGCCACTTTTAGAAAACCAGCCTTTAATTTCCAGTGGGAAATTGTCTTCGTTTCCTGGGATGCTTCAAAGATACTCCTTGGGTTGGCTTTTCTTTTTCATAGCTGCTGCTTATACTGCTAGTAAGCAAGCAAATAGATGTCTCCCTTTTAACCCCACTTCACTGGTTTGTACCTTGCCTCTTGCTTTCCACAGCTTTCATGGAATCAACCAGATTGGGTAAGAAAAAAGCCCCTCTTCATGTGGTAGCTGGAGCTTAAATCAGTTAATGATTGAAAGAGCCCACCAGAAAGGAGATAAGTAGGAAAATGAGATCTTCAGCCTCTGGGGCAAACAGCCTTATTACATCTGCTGAAGAGGAAGCCGGGTTGGGTGAAGTCTTGGGTGTTTTCTCCAGGTGCAGACTTACTCCTCTGGTCCTCCTTAGCAGAAGCTCTAACTCCAGCGGTCTCATTGTGTGTAAGTAGGGAGAATTATTACGGCAGGGGTGGTGGAGTTAGAGACAATTAACATTATTCATGATAATTTTAAATGTTGTGTAGAATTGCTTTGACAGCTTGAAATTGTATGATGAGTGTAGATGCGAGAGATTCGAATTTCTTCCTGAAGCATCCAGTGGACTTCAATAATTACACGAATGAAGCCACCTCTTTATTTAGCCATTGTAATTAATAACTATGAGAATTTCTGGTTTCCTACACAATTTTATTTTCTTTTTGCAATTCAGATGCACTTCCTTCAGGACACAGGGCATGAGTCCAAGCCCATCCCCAGGTGGTACCCGGGAAGATTTCCCAATGAGCGGCAGAGGGGGGTGCCACCAGTGGGGGGTTGAGAAGCCTGTGGAGAGGCTGCCTTTTCCTTCCAGACATTCCCAAAACCTGGGAACTGTGAGGTGTGAGACGCTGCAGGGGTTGAGGGGGACGGAGTTGGATGTTTAGTGCAGGGGGAGATAAGATAAACTGATATTTCTTTGGATTTACTGCAGCTTTCTGTGCACTGCCTTCAAGATCTTGTGAGGTTGTAGGGGTCCTCTTGCAACTAATACACTAATGACCTTGAATTTGCTTCCAGCTCAGCTGTACTGCTGGAGGACAAAGCTTTTCTTGTGAGCAAAAAAACATTAAAGCAGCAGAGAGATTTGCCTGCATAGCTCTGGTCTTCAGCAGATTTGAGTATCCTTTTTGAGGCCCCACTGGCAACAAGGGATTGTAGATAAGCTTCTGCAGTAGTTAATGTGTAAAGTTTTTAGATCTGTTCTCACTGATGCCTCTCTTTTTGCTGTGGTATACCCAGTGTTTTTTTTTTGTTTTACACAGATAGTTTTTTGCTGCATGAAAAAGGTAATAATGTGCATGCTCACATGTGCATGCCAGCCAAGACAAGTGTGCTCTTATTTGTGACTTCATGAGTACTAGAGAAAAATATCATTTGCTTTGATTTAAAAAATAATGAATAATACGATTAATTCCTTTTTCAGATTATAGCCTGAGCATCAAATTTAGGAGTCCAGACTAGTTCTGCATGCTGAGGCAGTCTGCTGAAGCAAGCAAATGTGATTGCAGGATATTAGAAACTTTCATAGTCTCACATCTGAATTAAGACTAAACCCCTTCTGTTTCTTATCAGCTCCTGGTTATAAGATATAACTGGGAAAATTCAGAAAAAATAATGCAATTTTGTTACGGATTTTGTTGAAATTGTGTTTAGACTTGTTGTGTGACTCAGTGGAAAAGATTTGTGACCTCTTCCTTTATAGCTTTGACTTCCTGCAAACTTGTCTGTTAAAAAGATTCTGCAAGATGCTTCCTCTGCAGATCCTATAAGAAAGGTATATCCAGCAGGAGAAACATCTGACTGAGCAAAGACTAACTTCCAGAGAAGTTTGGAAGCCACGTGTTGAAAAGTGCTGAGGAAACACAGCAGGGAAAATGATAAAAAGGGATGAAAGCATTTCAGACGGGTGAAGAATGCTGATTTAAAAATGCAAACCATCTGAGTGGGCAGGTTGCAATAACTTCAGGGCAGACCTAAGTTGCACAACAGTCATATACTGTAAGTTGATTCCCACAGGACATAGCCTGTAGTGATTTAAAATTGAATGGGCTTGGGGGGAGAGCTTCGAGGTGCTGCAGAGAGCAATCTTGCAGAGTGGCAGAGTGCAAGTAAGAAATGGGTCAGTTGGAGTAATAGCTTTTTCTCAGTGTGTTTTTTTGTGAGCCAAGCCAAACGTGTGTGGAGCACAGGGTTATCGTGCTCCTGTATTTATTTCAGTGGACTAGAAATTAATGTCTTTGCAATGAAATTTGGTCATCCAAGTGTGACATGAATACTCCCTCTGTTTAGACACGGCATTGAGTCCCGAAGTCAGCTTGCTTTTTTTAATGTTCTAGGCTTTGCCTAGATCATTAAAATAGACAGCATTTGGAAATGTGATGCTGTGGCCTCACATTCCCAGGAGGTCAGCAGAAATGCTACCCTTAAGTATCCCTGCTAATACCACCTGTGGTTTGTTCTTGCCTCTGCATTGTGGTCAGCAATCTCCTGTTTGTGCTGAAACAACTGGATGTGTAACCACACTGAAGTAGATAAAGGGACTGACCCACTTAAAAAAAAATCCAAACCAAAAGAGCCCTCTAATGTGTATTTGCCCACCCTAACCCCTGCTATATCATTTTACTTGTCCAGCTTGTAATATGCCAGCCTCATACCCAGGGGTGTTGGCAACAGCAGAGTCACTGTGCAGGAATGAGGAAGATGGAAGAGAATTACTTACACCAGTGCTATTGCTGCTTCCTTTTTGATGTGAACACACAGCCTTAGTTACAGCTTCATTCTAAACTTTGCACTTAGCTTTAATGTACTTTAGCAGCTTGCAGAAAGGTGATAGCACATGGTGACTGTGTTTTTGGTACCTCCTGATGGTCAGGTATCAGCAGGCAGTGTGTGTAAGCTGTGTGGGCTGTTCAGATATGGTGTAACGAGATGGTGGCTTCTGAGGCTGTTAATGAAATCCAAGCCTGCCCCCACTCTGTTTTTCCCTTTTTTGATCACAGCAGGCTGGTACAAGTGGCTCTTAAAGTCATACCATTAAGTGGTCATTGAAACAAATGGGGTTAGAAATAAAAGCCCAGAGGAAGGGGCTTATTTTTAATCCAGATCAGGTAAGTGATCTGTCACTCAGTAACGCTGAGTTACACTGCAGTGTAGCTATAGAGGCTGACGGTAACTGTGGTGCAGGGGGGTGAATGATAAGGCTTATGATAAGGGAGGGCTAGACTTTCTTCAGCCAGCTTTGCCACCAATGCCCACACCACTTGATTATAAAGTGAATTAGTATAAGGGCATTGTGTGTGTGATGGTCCAGCAGTACGTTAGTGTATTTTCATTGGAGCATGCCCCCTTCATTCAGATTTTATTTCACTGGGGACCATGCATCCTTCCAATAATCCACAAGCTGTCCAAAACCCCCAGGTATCAGTAGAGCACAGATTTCCAAGTCTAAGTCTGACACTTCATGTAAATCATTATCCTAAACACATGTATTAGTTGTGCCATCCATTCCGCTTTTTAGAAAATGGAAACCTCTCAGGCCTTGGCATGCAAAGCTCCTTCGTACCACCTCAGTGTGCATGCAGCATCCATAGCAGAGGTACAGAAGTCACTCTCTTATTTTGGTCTGATCCTAGGCTGCAGCAAATTGTGGCCCACTGATGCTGTGCCAGTTCATATCAGCTCAAGAAAAGAAAAGGCTCCTCTCCAACTTGCCAATGTGATACTTTTCCCTACTTCCCCTTGATGATATCCATGTAGCACTGCCTTTTCAGGGCTGTGTGCAGAGGAGGGATGTCCCTCGGAGAGTTTGTGCTCCCTGCCTTGTCCTTTTGGGGACAGGCTTGCTCACACTCCCACTGTGTGAGGACTTTCAATGGCAAAAGAGAAGACAGCTAATATTGTTCCCACTGTGCATAAGGCCAGGCATGGGTTTTGCTTTTGCTGTCTTAATGCTATGCTCTGTATAGCAGAAGCAGGCAGGCACATGATCTCCCTGAAGGCAGGATCCAGTGTTACTGTAGAAACTGGCCACCAGCTTCTTTTGTATTTAGCAGCTGTCACTGTGTGGTTACAGCCAAAGTGTGTCACTCCTACAGTGTCTGCAGCCTCTGGAGTTTACTTCTGAATTCTCTGTGCTACAGCTTGGAGATTAATTCTGCACCTTCTATCAAAGTGTGTTGATATTTCTTACTTTTATCTACTTTTACAACTGCTCTTGTTTAATATTTTGTGTTCTTTCCAGGTTTCACTTTCCTTCACCAATACTTCAAGGCACAGAGGAGCTGGTAAAGGCATTGCCATGAAACCTAACTTGAAGCAATGGAAACAACTCATGCTGTTTGGGATCTTTGCATGGGGTCTGCTTTTTCTGGTGATATTCATCTATTTTACAGATAGCAATGCTGCTGAAC